AGATATAGATTGAATGTTCCCGCACTGAACATTTACAGAAGCTTGGAATCCTGGCCAGTCTACGCTTTTCACAGGCCGGGGAGTCGAATGACGGAATCCTTTTAGCTGTATATATGTAGGGAGATGGTCACTTCCATGTGTTTCAACGTCTACTAACCAACAGGTGGTAGGCAAAAGACTTCTGCTCGCAAAACATACGTCTAGACAGCTACTGTACGATGCGCCACGGAGGTAAGTAGGTGAGCCATCGTTAATGGACATAAGGCCCTGGTCGAGCACAAAATCGGCAATGTCACTACCGCGGGTGTTCATTGAGGCAGAACCCCACATGGGATGATGTGCATTAAAATCCCCAACTAATACATGTGGTCCAGGGCAAGCTTGGAGCACAGACAAGAGATGGGAACAGTCCACGTGGCTTCTAGGAGGAATGTATCCACCAATGATTGATATTGAACGTCGCTTGTGCTTTATAGATAGGCAAATGCAGTCGTTAGAAGCATGAGGAGCCACGGCATGTCTCACGTACGTTAAATCTTGACGTACGCATATAATTACTTTGCTCGCATTTCCGTCATCACGTGACCACAAAGTGACGTATCCGGAAATACGAAACGACGACATCATATTCGGCTCACACATTACAACCAACGGAAATTGGTATTTAAACATCCGTTGTCGAAAGTCAGACAATCGGCTTCGTAAACCTCGTGCGTTCCACTGCATTATAGCAGAGGTGCGCACACGTTCATCGAAGAAATTCGCCATATTGTTTATGGAAGGGTCAGCAGTAGCGGTTCCAGCACGTTGAGGATCTGCACTGCTGTTTTCGCTCCTGGTGTGTGTAGCTCGTTGAGAATCACACGAATAGATTCTAGTAGATGCTTCAGCATAGTTTGGCTCTTCTCAGTGTCTTGCCTATCATTTTCCGCCCTCTTTGAAGTTGCCACCCATGATGTGGTCTTTTTTATTGCTCCGGTCGGTAGCGAAGGCCACTCAGTATCTGAAGCATTGGCGTGCAATGCGGGCGTTGGTCCACTTTCTGCATCCCTGGGACAGGGTGCGTACAACATGGGTGTAGCGGCCTGATAATGTGCACGTGTATGTTCATCTGTTGCTGATGGTGATGCATCACTCCTATGTCCACTATGATTTCGCTGGTGCCTACGTTTTGGACGACGTCTGTGTCGGCGGATCTACGCAACTGCCTCTCTGTGTGTCGAATTGTCTCTGACCATCTTCCGCAGGACGCGAATTTCTTCTTTGATCTTCGGGCACTCTTTCGACGTTGCTTCATGTGCACCAGAGCAGTTTGGGCATTTCAATGGAACAGCAGTATCGCAGTTTTCCACCTTATGAGACCCGCTGCACCACTGGCAAGTTGTCTCACTTTTGCACACTGCGCTGACGTGTCCCAACTTGCAGCACTTGTGACACTGCAAAGGCCGTGGTACGTAAGGGCGCACGGGATGTCTCACGTATCCAACCTTCACGCTAGGGGGCAGAGTCTCAGAATCAAATGCTATTTTGATGCAACGAGACTGCCCGAAGCGGCGTATGGTCACGATTCTGCCTGTCGACGTCACAAGATTCTGCAGGTCAGCGTCTGTGATGTCATCGTCGACATCATTTCTCACGCCAGTCGTTGTTTCTTTCCCTTGAGCGAGAAACGCGCGAACAAAAATACTTCCGAGCTGCGTGACGGCCTTCAGTCTGCCAAGAATGGTTTTGTTTGTCACATGAACTGACAATATGTTTTTCCTGCTATTTATGCGAATTTCATTCACTTGAGCAGGTGCTACTCGCTCGAAATAATTAGTCAATGACTGCCTGTTTAGTGAGTTTAGGTTGTTGGATGTAGACATGGGTACATACGAGATGGTGAAACATCGCTTGCCTTTGTCTAGCGCTGGTTGTGGCTCCGCCGTTGATGACGTCCTGCGAAGCTTCCTTTTCAACCTGCGGGAATGGAATGTCCTGAAGTCGGCTTCCGATTCCATCTCTTCCACTGATGAGCTCTCGGTAGAATCATCACAAGGAGCAGATGTGCCAACGCGGTCACCCACAATCGGTCCATCCTTATGCAAACGGCTAGGGCCCACTGTCTCGTTGGATGGATGGTCCCCCATCCCGGGGGGTGACGTCTTCCGTTCCGCCTGTTCAGAGAAACTCAGGAATTCTGACAGTTTAAGAAAAAACGATAGTTGTTCAAAGCAGAATTATTCCGTACGGTGGAAGATTATGTTATGGTTTTCCTTGAGCGGTCATTTTAGACTGTTGTGGTAGCAATAAAAATTGCACTTATAGAAGAGTAACTAAGAATTACTATTACCACAAGGTTTACGTGCCTATGCTGAAGATAAGGCTCCCATGTTTACTTAATGGTCCGTGAAATACCGCTTCTAAAACTTCACGATACGGAAAGCACAGTTTCAACTCCATTACATGGACTGTGCTATTTCTCGCAAACGAATTGCCCCCAGGCGTGCGCCCGTATGGGGAAAAGAAAAGAGGAAGGATGCCCTCCTCCTCATAAGAAAAATATTATGGCAACGCAAGATCTGCTATAAGTTTTAACCAAGCCTGTCCAGTTGTGCCTTCAAGATCAACAAAAAGTTGCTTTCCAAACATTTTGTTTTTGCTACTTGACCAACATGGCAGCAAGGGGGAGTGGGTGGTCACCGTGATTCAGCTTGCCCTTTCCACAGTGTTGAAAACTCACACTGATGTTTAGATTGCTACAGCTCGTCTTAACGGGGACTAGTTCTTCCACACAGACTGCGCCATAAAATAGCCTGGCTTTAGGTGACATTTTATTCAGACACAAAGAGATGGTTAGATTGGAATTATGTTTCAACCAGAACAGAGGGAAAGGGTGGTGTACCATTGTCACTTCTTCTTAAGCGAACGTCATGATGCGGGGTTAACCTATTACAAAGTTTAAAATGTACAGATCCTTTGTGGACCTTTGTGTACACGAATGACGAACCGGGGGGAAGGAAGGAAAATAGAGGGAAAAGAAAGGCAAGGAGGTCAACCAGCCTATAGGCAGCCGGTTTGCTACCTTGCGCATGAGAAAGGTATGGGGGAGATGAAAGAGAGCAGAGAGGGAAGAGAGAAGCAGCACATTCGGCAGCACACACGCGAACACTCAGTCATAGTCCAGTCTTGTCTTTCGTGGTGTGTGACATTGCTGTTACAGTCGCTTGTTCAAGTCGGTGTCGCGTAGGAATTTCAACAGAGCTTTCGTCGCCTTCTGTTGCAATGTCTTCTCTCGGGCACTTGACACAATAGTGTCCACAGACATTTGGCTGCTGTCGATGCGCGCAAAAGCGGACGCTAAAGACTGTCTCTGGATTTCATTCAACGGACAGTCACACAGGATGTGGTGTAGCGCCTCTTCGCAGTGACAGGCATCGCAGAGAGCGTTGTCGGCCATTCCTATGACAAAGGAGTAAGATTTTGTAAATGGCACTCCTAGCCATAAGCGATGAAGAAGGGTGGCTTCTCTTCGGTCGAGTACAGTGGGCATGCGGAGAGCCAACAAAGATGACTGGTGGTGTTGACGATTCGTATCGATGCTTGGTGGGCACCATAGTGAAAACGTGATTTCGCGCGCAAGTCGTCGAAGATTACTGGCAGCATCGGTCCTCGAAAGTGGCTTCTTCTCGTGTTCCTTCAAGGGCTTCCCGCGCGGCAGTATCAGCATGTTCGTTTTCTATGATGCCGCAGTGACTTGGCAGCCATTGAAGCGTCACATGATGCCCTTTCTCAAATAAAGTGTGGAGAAGGCATCTAAATTCGAAAACAAGCTGTTCGTACGGGCCGCGACGCAGTACTGAGAGCACAGATTGTAGGGCAGCCCTTGAGTCACTGAAAATCGACCATTGTTGCGGTGGTTCCCGATTGACCACACAAAGTGCAGCGCGCAAAGCGGCTAGTTCCACTGCTGTAGATGCTGTGGAGCGGTCAGTCCTAAAGCTGATGGTAACACCTCTTGCTGGGATAACTACTGCCCCTGACGAACACTGGTGGTTCGCGGAACCATCGGTGTATACATGTATGCTGTCTGAATATTTCTCGTGCAAAAGAAGAAGAGACAGTTGTTTCAGCGCGGGCGACGAAAGCTCAGATTTCCTCCGGATCCCTGGTACACTAAGATGCACTGTGGGTCGAATAAGACACTAAGGTGGTATGGATGGTTTAGATGCAGGAGTGAAGCCCGAGCGACGTTTATCGTTGTATTTCACAATCATTTTGGCGAACGATGCTTGGCACCTCTCTGAAGGCAACAGTGCAAGGTGATGGCAGGGAGCACGTGCGAAGTGTGATGTGCGTTCTCCGGACTTCTACAACAATGTCAGTTTGTATCGAATAGTCACCAGCAATTGCGATTGTTGCTTCTGGTGACGTACATCTGGGCAGACCGAGGCACACTCTCAGCATTTGGGCTTGTACTGCCTGTAAAACACGAACATTGGTCTTGCAGGTTTTGCTAAGCACGGGCAAGCTATATCTGAGGAAACCGAGAAACAGGGCCCTGTAGAGCTCCATCATTGCGTCTACTGACATCCCCCATGTCTTTCCTGCCAGGAACTTGAACAGTTGGGAAATAGCGGTCAGGCGCTTCTTCATATAGGTCACATGCGGACTCCAACAGAGGTCCATATCAATAATGATGCCCAGAAACCGGTGGGTTTTGGCGTAAGAAATCGGTCGCCCGCAGATTAAGATGACATAAGGGGGAGTATACGAAAGGTAGGGCACCCGGGTTAAAAATAGCGAAACCTTGAAGACAATGGGTGAAGCTGACACAATTTATCAGGCCCAACTGAGACTATGCAGCTAGGCATGCTCTCCCCTGTACACGCTCTGAAGAGGGGTGTAGCAAGACAGGACACTGTTCAGTATATGCACTCGCATATACGCCTCAGATACAATAATGTGCCATGAAAAATTGCTAGCGATGTGACAACAGCTTGCTATCCTGTCATATGCAGGTGAAGCCAGCGTCTTTGACACGCGATGGAGAAGTGATGTACGAGCTTCGACTCGAGAAGGAGCACTGCGACTTGCACGGCAATCTGCATGCCGGCATGGCATTCGCCCTATTGGATCTGTACACGTGGACGACGGCTTGCACGCTGTACGACCAGGACACGCCGTTCGTCAGCCTCAACCTTAAGGCAAGGTATTAGCAGAATGCGTTTAATATGTCGATGACCATATGTTTTAATAGCATGCGAAACTGGTCTAGTTGGTTGCTTTTTGAGATTTGAGAATTGGGTTATTTTATATAAATTGATACAAGTGTAACAAGGTTGAAGAGAGAGAAGAAAAAAGTACAATTAATGGTGGGGATAACAGGCCGAAAGCTGCAATATCGGCAGCTTGACAAGCCTCACCACTCCAACAAATCAACACAGTTGGAATATGCATGGCAAAAGGCACGCAAAACACCAACTTGATGATGATATATGGATTGTAGAGGTGCAAGGTTCATGCTAGGTGAAAGGGCACCATGAAAGGTGAAGCAACAATAACAATGATTTGTTATTTACAATGATGTTCAGGGGATGTGAAATTGTGAGCAATGGTGGTGAAAGTCAGTGGCTGTATAGGGGCCTGAAATTCCTCGTCCTAAAGACAGGTAAAACGTATAAGATGTAAAATATGATGGAAGTGACGTGACTTGTGTACTATGAAGATAAATGACATGTGCTCTAGGTAACAAAATCATGGGCATATGGAGTCAGCACGAGTGTCTTGTCAATGCTCTTGAGAACAAGGGCCACGAGGTGGGCGCTTATTTTATAGCAGTCACCGCCGCCGTGACCTCTGCTTAGAGGTCGTGCTACAGAATCCCTGGGTATACGACATCAAAACTATGTATATCGTTTTAAAAAATCAGAAAGTGACTGATATCCGAAAAGCGAGTCCCTGCTGAGGAACATGGCAAGTTTCAAAGAAAATTGTTGTCGGTACTGTTATAGAGAGTCAATGTAAAGCGCTTATTTCTAATATCATCTAATGTGAAGAACGGCAAGTGGTTCTCCACATCTTTCACACCTCTTTGGATCATCACTGTACAGAAGGTATCCATGTGTGATATGTGTGCGTCTTATTCGATGCCTTGTTAGTGATACTTGTGTGCTGCGTGACTTCGATAACAACGTCCGATTGTCATTAAACGGCTTTATAACGAGCAGTTTATTTTGGGTGTCTTTATCCCAAGGGCTCTGCCAATAAGCTCTAAGCTTTTGTTTAGGAGATGGTTTTAGGTCATGCACATGAATGGATGTGCATGTGTTGACAGTACTTTGCTGGGCGGACGCGGCTAGCTCGTCCGCCATCTCATTTCCTCGAATCTCCCAGTGCCAAGGCAGTTTTCAGAGCTTCACCATGCTCAGGGGATCGGTGTAAATTACTGCATTTTGTAGCTTTCTTCGTTCATTCTGTTTAAGAGCCGTAATTATCGCATCAGCCTCGGCTGTGAAGATGCTTATCTCGGGATGCAAAGCAACGGTGTCTGTAAAGAATGTAGCGACCGCAGCGTAGGACACAGATGTGTTAGACTTTAAGGCGTCCGTAAAGAACTCGGGACATGTGTATTTTCGTTGGAGTTCCAGGAAGTGTGGGCGGATATGTGCGATGAGCGTGTGCTTCGTTAATTACAAGAAATACGTATTTCAATCTATGGTCCGCCAATGCCATGGCACCAGTGGTGCCGCGGGAGCAATTAAACGGTGCCGAAATGGCGCACGCGTCACCGCGGTTAGATTCCTCAAAGGAAGCGAGTAGGGCTGTGGAAATGAAGGACAGTTTTCAAACTGCGCATCACTGGACAGATCATCGACAGTATAATGGGAGGGATGTTTCTTGTCGGCGTTAACATTGAGATGATATAAAAACGACATATAAGATCTTCGCAGGTGTAGCGACCACTCGTTAAACTCAACGTGCACTGAGCTTTCCACCGGGCTCGTGCGAAATGGACCCCTTAGAAAAGCGTATGCGACGATTCCGAACACGATCCAAAATCTTGAATGCCTTCGGTCTGGCAGACTGGTAGACTATGGCTGCGTAGTCCAGGCCTGTGCGTATGAGGCTTTTATAAATGTGCATCAGGCACTTCCAGTCACTTCCCCGTGTTGTGTGAGATGGCACAATAAACATCCTAAAAGCGCTGTCACACACAACACAAGGAAGTGACAGGAAGCGCCTGATAAATATCTATAAACGGATTTGAGAAGAAGAAATAAATTGCATGGGCTGAGATAACAGTGCATTAGCCTCTGGGTTGTGACATCCTAAAGCCACGACATCATCAGAATACACACCTTATCAGACAGCTCTGAAAATTGTGAACCCCCGGCGTTCTTTAACGTGTACCTATATATCAAGTATCTGAATATATATATATATATATATATATATATATATATATATATATATATATATATATATATATATATATATATATATATATATATATATATATATATATATATATATATATAAAGTATCTGAATACTTGATATATTTTTTTCGGTCAAAACACACAAGCCAGAAATTCCTTTCAGAGCGATAGTGTCCGAAAGCGACACGTGACAAAATGTTGTTTCGAGGTACCTGCAAAGCTGTTTAGAAACTCTTGCTATCCCGGATCTTTACCGTGTCAGTAATTCCGAAGAGGTGGTATAGTTTTTGAGTGCCGATAGTTCTAGCGAATGTAGCGCTTTCAGTATAGACATTGAGGACTTGTACCATTCGATACCTAGAGATGAGCTGATGGCAAGCGTTCAAAGCTGCATCGCGCAGGATACTGATGAATTTTCTTTCAGCCTGAAGTGTGGAACTTCTGTATACAGTTTTCTAGAATTACTTAGCTTCTACCTGAAGTCAACTTTTGTGTCTTGGAGTGGCAATATTTTTGTCCACCAATAGAGGATGACGACCTTTATACAATTGTGACAAAAACATATCCTGCTGCCCCTGTAAAGCTCACAAGTTTGTTAGGTTCTCTTGGCTTTCTGCCAGACGCTCAGACTACATGCGTATGCACTATATATAGGTGCTGTGAAGTGCAAAGCGTTGCAGGCACGCACTGTGGTTCCATAAAGTTTTCTTAATTGTGAAATACATTGCCTCTGTGTAATGAATGAATTCAGTCAATGCCATAACATCAAACTTTACAAATTCTGTTTAAGTAAGCACTGAACGATTTACAACATCTATACCACTCTTCTCATTACACCTTTGCCGTGATAAGGCTGCAGCAATACTTTCACTTTTCTAAAAGGTACTGTGCAAACATATGTGCAGAATTCAGTTCCTGTGGAACGCGAGTAAGTTTCTTAATCAGTATATGTCAGGCATCTGGCGTTGTCTACGGCGTCCGGGGCGCCGCTCTCACTCTCCGCTCTAACTCTCTCACCCATAGCTGCGGGGGCGCGCGCTTATCCTTGCCCCTAGCAACCGGAGCATGGGGTGCGAGAGAGTGTAGGAAAGGGTAGGTGCAGCGCTTCGCCGATCCTTCTCTTGCTGTTCGCCATCTCTCCTCCCTGGCCCCACTTTCTCGTCCACTCGCACCTCACTTTCGACAGTTCCACTGGCTAAGCGCCTCTCAAGAACAACTGGAAATGTGTGCTAGAGATGCCCCTGTGAAACGCCAACGCCGAGCAGAGAACGCTGTTTGTTTTGTTCACCTCAAGTATGTTTTCACCGTGCACGCTAGCTACTGGAGCTGGCAACGCACACCACGTTTCTCGCGACAGAAAAATGCCACGTGCGGCGAACGGTGCTATTGGCCGCACGGTGTAAGAATCACATCATATCCACGGAGTGAATAATGATTTGTGTGGCGAAGCGTTCGTCAGTGCATCCGTGTTTCCGTCCACCCATTATTTCTTGCTTGCATCCTTCCATGTGACTGTCCGTGCGTCCGTCCGTGTGTCTGTTCATCCGTGTGACCGTCCGTGCATCCATCCATCCATGCGTCCGTCCGTTCTTCCGTCCGTCCGTTCGTTCGTCTGTCTGTATGTCCGTCCGTCCGTGCGTGCGTCCGTAAGCGCATGCCCCTGTCTTTCTGTGCACGTCTAAGTAGTGCGCTCTCATTTCAAAACAACCCTATAAATAGCCTTCATAAATTACGAGACGTCATTTGTTTCAGTGGAAACATCAGCAATGATGCAGGTACCACGGAATCAGGGCATCAATGAACCGTACGTAAATATACTGGAAAAAATATACAGTTTACAGGAAGATTTCAGGGTCCTCAATTGGGAGGAGTTGGGGATAACAGTTAACTAACAGTATCTTAGTAACCTGTGATTCACTGATGACTTTGCCTTGATGAGTAACTGAAGATATGTATTACAGCTCATGATTACTGAGCTGGACAATGAAAGCTGTACAGTTGATCTGGAAATTACTATCTATGAAACTAAAATCAGGCGTAACATTATCGGCAAGAAAACAGCACTTTGTGGTAGGTGCAGAGACAGTGGACGTTGTAAGGAATATGCCTACTCAGGACAGGTAGTAACCATGGAGCCGAACCATGAGAGGGAAGTAACTAAAATAATAATGATGGGGTAAATCCCATTCGTCAAGCATTCTCAAATCATGACTGGTAATCTGCCGCTAACCCACAAGAGATTGATTGATTTATGTGTGGGGTTTAACGTCTCAAAACCACCATATGATTACGAGAGACGCCGTAGTGGAGGGCTCCGGAAATTTCGACCACCTGGGGTTCTTTAACGTGCACCCAAATCTGAGTACAAGGGCCTACAACATTTTCGCCTCCATCGGAAATGCAGCCGCCACAGCCGGGATTTGATCCCGTGACCGGCGGGTCAGTAGGCGAGTACCATAGCCACTAGACACCATGGCGGGGCTAACCCACAAGAGGAAGGTTTATAACATCTGCATCTTGCCGTTACTTACCTACGGAGCAGAAACATGGAGGCTTACAAAGAGGGCTCAGCTTGCATTGCGGACGAGCAATCAAGTGATGAATAGGAAATTGATCGGTGTAACCTTAAGAGACAAGAAAAGAGCACAGTTGGTCAAGGAACAAACTGCTGTTAAGGATATCATAGTTGATATCAAGAAAAAGAAGAAATGGACATGGAACGGGCACGTAGCGTGTAGCAGGATAACTACTGGTCATTAAGCGTAATTGAG